TAGGGGGGGGGGGTATGCTGTGTGTTCTAATGGCCCTGCAGAGTATTCAGGAATCTCAGTTAGTTTCACAAACTCAACAATAATTTAAGCATCCTGATTTTAAAAAACAGTACAACAGATCCACCACACCATGCAGTGTATGTAATAAAGTAATACTAAGTTGTTACTTAGCTTAACAGTACCTTGCACTAGGGGGAGACAGAGCACTGACTTCTGCAGGTTAGTTTATTTTTTGCCAACATTCAGCAACTACCAACCTCACAAAGTAAACAAACGATGAGTAACGCTGCAGAGAACGACAGATAACCAAAGCTCGGGTTCTCACCTGTCGTAATTATCTCTCCTCTTGCTCTTCTTACTGCGACGAGCCATCTTGCCTTTGTGTTTGGTCTTCCGAGCTGGACCCACTTTGATTGACGTGTTCTCAAGTGCTGTGGTCTGAAGCGCCACCTTGCTTCCACTCTGCACATTTAATAGGGAGCAAAGGATAATTAATCTATGTTACCAACACACACACACACACAAAAAAAAAAAGCAACTTAAGCTAAAACTGAATATCAAACACAGTTATAACCTGCCACAGCAGTGTGAGTGAGTTGCTGTACCTTCAATAGCAGTTCTATCATCTCAGGGTGGACCAGGCCTTGGACAGACTCTCCGTTCACGTGGGTGATGAGGTCTCCAGTGCGGAGACCTGCCTGGTGAGCTGGGCTGCCCTCCTCCACACTCTGTTAAAACAGCATCACAGTGAGTGTGAGGAGATTATGTTGAGCATTACAGAACCACATTTTTATACCTCTCTTCTGTCATCATACTAAAGCACCTTACTTCACATGGACACATGACATTTAAAACGCCTGAGGAAGAGGAGTTAAAGCGGTGTGTTTCGTTAGACCGACACAATTTGTATTTGTGGCGACACCCACCGACACCATGTGATGCACCGTGTAGACGTCGCTGTCGCCCATGTAGACCCGGATGGCCTGCAGAGTGAAGCCGTACTTCTTCCCTGATGTGTGGATGACAATGGGAGGCCTCAGGCTGCAAGGGCTGAGCGACAGGTCCCGGCTGGGGGAGGAGTCACGGGACGAAGGGTTGGAGGACAGAGAGCGTGGGGAGATGGGACTGGGCTGGAGGCCGCCAGGCAAGTCATCTGAAACAAACAAGACCATTTCCCTATAAATATGTCGACTGAACAATACACAGCTTTCTGGCTCAGAAAGGCCTTTTATTTAAGTTGTTGTGCTATGAATTAAATATTAATAGAGCTACGAATATATAATGGTTTTTGGTAAATGTTCCTGACCATATAAATTAGAGGTGTATTTGCATGAATAACTAAAGAGTTTCAGTTACAGTTCAGGCACTTCCATTATTACTTTCTAAATATGGGCCTGTTTTACTTTCACGATTACAAACAAAAGATATTACAATTTTGTTCATCCATTTCCGTCTTCTTATTGCCACTGAGGTGTTGATGATAACCATCTGTACCTGTAGTGATGATAAGAGACAAGGCTGAGATGGAGGCCGATTTGGGAACCTTCCCACCACAGGGAAGCCTCTGTCTGTCCGGCGTCTCCAGCTGGTTACCGAAGCGCCGGGGGGCGGTCGGGTCCTTGGGGGACGAGTGTTTGGCCCCAGTGCTGTTGCTGCGAATCCTGATCCTCCGAAGGTTCGACACAACCACCTCAGCTGCAGGTATCATAGATTAAAAAAGGTAAACAACATGTCGATATTATCAGTGTTCATGCCTCTAACAAAAGCACCGATACACGTTGTGAACAGAAAAGTCAAAAACATTCATTCAGTCTGGATTTACCTTCATCGTCAGTGGAGAGGGCAAAGCGGGGCATCGTCTCCAGGCTCTGGGTGCTGCTCATCACCAGAGGACTGGTGCTCCTCTCAGACTGGGAGGAGCTGGAGGAAGCCCGGGGGCGAAGGCTGCAAACAGTCAAAGCCCAGTTGAGTGGGTAAATCAACTGGTACAAGAGATCACGCAACACAACACCACACTGTGTCTTGACTGCTTGCTGCTTTTACACAGCAGCAGCAAAGTGCTAAACAAAGAAGAAATCAGCAAAAAGCCTTAAGATGACCTCAAAGCACTGAAGAAAGCTGTGACAGAAATAAAAGCAGCTTATGATATCGCTTGTGCCTACCTGGCCATGCGTCCGGCATGTGTGCGCTCCACGCCGCCCTCTGCTTGGCTCAGGGAGGGACTCAACCCTCCAACGTCCCCACGGTCCTCCTTCTCCTCGCTGTGGCTGCGGTCAGAGGAGAAGCTCAAGTTGGACGGTGTTGCCAGATGTTCTGTGCTGCTGTAAACCTGAAAGGTTAAAACAGAAGACGGGTTGTGAAACAGAGAGCTGAGCTGAGTACTGAAGAGCTTTCCGATGATGTAATGCACCATCTAGCAGCACTAGAGACCCTCCACTCTTTGATAAACACATGACTTTGTTATCTCAATAGCATAACAGTGAGAAGCTATCTAAAGAGAATCTGGTGTAGCTTTAAATAAACATTGTAAATGTGCATAGACATATAGCTGGAAGTTTCTTCTGTACCAAAAGGGCTGACCACTTTTTGAACCTCCAAAGCTTTTTGTATTCCAACACGTGGCCCTTACCTTGCTGAAGCGATGCGACCAGGAAGAAAACTGTCTGATCTCCAAGGAAGACTCTTCATCATTGGTTTCTTCATCTTCGTCAGACGCCAAATGATGGTAACGCTCTGAACGAGCTGAAAACGGGAACAGGAGAAGACACTCAGATTTTCAGAGAAAACTGTTTGTTTGAAAATATAATAGAGAACCCGGTCTGTAGAATTTCCATTTGTCAATTGTGATACATGTGTGCATCACAATAGAGGACTATGAACGCTGTTCACTGCTGTCACACTAGTAGATACAGCATTTTGGTCTAATGTGGGAGAAAACCCACTCCTTGAGCCTGAAGTCAGCATGTGACCTACTGTCAAAGTAGCTGGTGTCGTCCTCCGCCTCCAGCTGAGGGATGAATTCAGCTTTCTGCCTCAGGAGTCCATTCCAGTCCAAACCCAGGAAGAATGGGTGCTGTTTGACCTCTGAGGCTCCGCCTACAACCACACAGTCAATCAAATACTAAGTTTTACGAGATTGCGACTTCAATGACACTCAAGAGGCAACATGTATTTAACACAAGGCCTAAAATATATATACATACACAAAAAAAAGATTCATACGTCTATCTCTTACTTAGAGTATGTCCAAAAAAATCTAAGGTAAACTATAAACTCTTACATGTGTACTTTATTAAGTTTATTAATACAACTGTATTTCGTAGAAAGTCCCCATTTCAATTTCCCTCGAGCTACAAAAAATTTGGATTAAAAGAAAACATCCTAATTTTTCAATATCAGCCTGTATCAAACACCCTGTGCAGCTTTTTAATGCGTTAATCAGCAGTAAACTGAGCAGTACCCGTTCCCAGTCGGTCTAAAGGACTCTGCCTGAGCAAGCGGGTGATCAGATCCTGGGCATCAACTGGTAAAGCATCGTCTCCTTCTGGCCAAATGATTTCATCTGCAAGAAGAAGCGGAAAAACAAACTCGATAGATCAGCACAAATAAAAATCACAAAACAATGACAACATAGCTTCTTAAGGTGTTGCAATGCCTGAAATGAAAGCCCAGTTTTAGTACTTCAAAAACAGTCAACTGGCACTAAATTATTTCCATATCTTGGCCTTTGACAAACAACATGACATGATGCAATGATACAAAGTTGTGAATTTAAAATAAGAGATTTTTCTATTTCCTCCAGGTTTGGACCAAAGTCATTGTCACAAGTAAGTGCAAAGTCCATCACTATTTGTCCCAATGATTGATTTCAGCACTCACCACTGACAACTTGTCCAAAAAGCTCTTCAGGAGTATCTCCAAAGAACGGAACGCAGCCGACCAGGAATTCATAGAGGATGACCCCCATCGCCCACCAGTCCACGGGCTTCCCATAGCCTTGCCTGAGGATCACCTCCGGGGCAATGTACTCCGGAGTGCCACACACCTGCACAAGCATACCAACACAGGTGAGTTTTGAGGGAAAACAAACAACTGCTTCCATAATCAAGTCGAGTGACTCGTCTTACATGGAAAACTATGATTTGTCTAATTTGTTTTACCTTCGAACCAGTCTCACCTGTTTATCTACAAACTCTCTTGTGTCTTTCTCCATGTGACCCTCGCACAGGTTGGTGGTCATGTTCATCAGGCCAATTTTAGACAGGCCAAAGTCCGTCAGCTTGATGTGGCCCATGGATGTAATCAACAAACTGTTGGGAGGAAAAAGATTTTAAAAAAATCAATGAACAACAAGAGATGTTGTACTTTACTTTTGAATAGCCAACACGTTCAATGAATTCTGCAAGCAAATGCAAGAACCCAGATTGAAATAGAAAAGGAGAAAGACTAAAAAAAAAAATCTGGACTTTCTAGGTGTCTTATCACAGATCAGATCTCGTCTGTTTAGTAAGTAAATCATGTTTAAAGTAAGAATACTGGGTCATACTCGGTACATTTCTAAATGAGAAGCCAGTAGTAGTACAGGAAGTGCTGGTCCTTGTTAAAACCATACAACAGGAGTAAAGTTGGTTTGTGTTCTCACTTGTCAGGTTTGAGATCCCGATGCACAATACCATAGTTGTGCAGGTACTCCAGGGCCAGGACTGTTTCAGCAAAATACAACCTTGTCATTTCTACAGGCAGTGGGCCCATGTTCTTGAGCAGGTTGGCACAATCTCCACCTTAATGAAACAAAAAAAACATGTGTTCATTTGCATGGATTAATTATTCCCTTTTTATCTATATTACCACCTGTGTAAACCGCTCTAGATTAGATAGAGCCAAATGTCTAACCATAGATCATTCACAGCAGTCTTTCTGTACTTTACCTTCCACATACTCCATGACCATGCAGAGGTGACGTCGTGTCTCAAAAGAGCAGAACATAGAGACCACAAAGGGGTTCTCGGCAAAAGTCAGGATGTCTCGCTCCACAAAAGCCTGCTGGATCTGGTTCCTCAGGACCAGGTTCTGCCGATTTATCTTTTTCATGGCAAACCGTTGGCGGGTCTCCTTGTGACGGACCAGATATACAGCCCTGTCAAAAACACCACGAGGCACATTAACACACAATTCTTCACAACAGTGAAAAGGCTTCAAGAAAACTTTAAGGGATATTCTCATTGAAAACATGGGCTGAACACAGGGTTGAAGTTTGGGTGAATTTCTCACTGGCTATTTACAGATTGTAGAAATGTAACTTTTACTTCTGAGTATTAAGATTCCCTTCACCTTATGCTAGTTCAACCCACGACTGCATTGATGGGATATCTCTGCATGAAATTGCCTTTGCTGTGGCACGATCAAACCACCGCCACCAGTCTAGCCAAAGGAGTCACGAATCTCTTTGTCTATTGAGCCGCAGTCAAAGACTAAGCCGACATGCTGCTGCATAATTGGTTGAAAACCAAACTAATGTTTTTTTTAGAAGAGGCGATATTTTGGATGTTTGATCGAAAGAAGGAAATAGGTTTCAAGACAATTATACATAATGAATGAATGTAATGAAGCTGCTACGGTGTAATTAAAAAGGTTGCATGGAACATGTAGCTTGCAGTAGATTCAAGGAAACTTTTTGACTGGTGTTCAAGTTTTTGTAGTCATTAGTCTGAAATAACAAAATAAAAGCGTGCAACAAATCTTTTGGAGAACTAATAAACAATGCCACGAAAGAACGATGAAAACGTATACAATGGCCCTTTGTTCTTACCCGTAAGCTCCATTACTAATGAGTTTGATTGTTTGAAAGTCACTCTCAAAAGGTTTCCTTCGAGTCGGTGTCAGCGTCTGTGGGGCCTTATTCTACAGAGAGGAAGCAGAAATGTGAGGGCTAGTGGCTATTTATGGGCAAGTTAAAAATGCAACACAATAGAAGCGATACTGTTATTATAATGATTAGGATTGTTACGGTAGAATCGAAAAATCTAATGTCCCGAGATGCATTAAGCACAGCAATCAGTGGTGGCTAAAAAACTATTTAGGAACATAAGGAACGTGTAAGAAGAAAATATGCGTTTAGAGTTCACCTATTCTTTTAATTTCTAATCTCAAATATATCAAATGCTGTCCACTCCAACAGGTCGTCAGTAATAATCAAAGTGAAAGTTTACCTCCACAATACCGTCTGTTTCCACTGTCACTGAAGGACTGGCTTCATACTGTTCAAGCTGTACCATGTCTAGAAACAACAGAGAGAAAGGCAAAGAACCTTCATCTCGCACCATCAACTCTTCACACACAGTGAGGACATTTTCGGTGAACTGAAGGTTGTCATTGTAAATGTTATCTTTCTGCACAGAAACTGCTTCCTACCGGCTGTTTATGTGAAAGTAAAACTTTCAAAAGAACTGACTGAACCTGAATTTCAGGCTACGACAGTGTGAACAATGTGTGAGATTTCTCTTTATGACAGAACTCCTTTACCTTCTAATGGGTCCCGTGTCAGACCCAGCTGGCTGATGATGTAGCGCGGGATGTCCGTCTTGATTCCCTGGCCGACTTTGGCGTGACCCTCTGCTGCCTCAAGTAAGTGGTAGAACTCTTCGGGGTCAAACTCCTGTCAAAAGCAGCCAAGTCTCATTAATGCGGACTGGCCGAAGATAATATCCTGACAGACTGAACTCAAAGCAGGAAACAACTGTAGTCTTAAAGATGTTCAGCTTCTTATCCGAGAGGTTTTTGATTTATAGTCATCCCTTTAGCTGAATGACAATTAATAATAATAATAATAATAATAATAATAATGATCAGGTCTGTATCCAGAGTCTGTGATCCAGAAGGTTAGTGAAGTTTAAATCAAAATGTCAAGAGAGTTAGTGGTATTAGATATTGGTAATTGTAATACCACAGGGTTTTTGACAGGTTGGGCCTATCCCAGTTTAAACCCGACACCAATTTCATTTGGATTTTCCAACTATCAACGTACAGAGGAAACGAAAAAAAGAAGAAGATATTTTTGGGTTCTTTCTCGGAAGTGAATGGAATTCTACTTGGGATGCTCAAAGCATTACAAATATAGATTTAGGAGCTCAACAATATGTTTTTGCAAAGACAATGTCCCAATTACTTTTGGCTAATTCATATAAGTCAATGAGAACTGTTATCTACTGACGGGAAAGCATAGTTAAGGTTTAGTCGTATTATCTTCCTTTCGGAGATCATCAGATTCATGTCCACTTTCTAAAGAGAATTAAGGTCAGCACCTCATTTCAGTCTGACTTCATGGTGAACTGACTTCTCCTTGTTTCAGTCACAGTAATCTTATTTTTGAATTAAGGGGAGATGTTCTCCTCTTCAGCTTACCAGACACTCCAGGAGGCGAGCTGGCCGTGAGATTATGATGAGGATCTTCCTCACCAAATGGATGATGATGGCTACCTCCTCGCTTTCAGAGCGCTCATAGGCCTGACAAACAGTACGGAAAAAGAGGGACAAAAATGACAAGTTTATTTATGCAACCAAGGAACCTTTTCACAAAACACCCAAGAGAGAGAAAACACTACAACACAGATTAAAAGCCATACTTTAAAATCAGAAAAAAAAACAAGCATAGATTCATAGATGATGATGTTGAAGAAATACGGTGCCGTTTCTGCACAATTTGTTACAATGTGGTATTAAAATAAAATTGTTACAAATAAAAATTGTAATAATAAATATTTGTAATATAATTGGAAATAGAAGTAAAAGAGAAAAAAAAAAAAAAAAAAAAAGGGAAAATGGTGATTTCCATGTTGGCAGACTTTGAGATGTGTGATAAAAGATGGCATGTATGCATCATGGAACATCTACAATACAAAATGAACATACACTACAATGTGTATATTTTATTATGCTAATTAAACTGTTACAAATACAAATTGGGTTGTGCAAAAAGGGATGCAAACCACCTTTGTCATCAGGGCTTGGTGGTGTCAGTGGAAAATAATTGATCAAAGAGGGGAAACACTTTCCAAAGCCTATTAAAAAACAAATGTGTGTCACAGGAATCTTTTTTTTTTTTTTAAAGGTTAAACCACGTGTACTCTTGATGAAGTTTCTGTAGGTGGAACTCTTCAACATTACAAACGGTGTGCTGTAAAGTGTAAGCAGTAGAACTGTCGCACACTTGAGAAAAGCAGCTGAGGTAACAGGCAGGTAGGCAATGACCGGAGGTTGACAACTGAAAGTAGCTAATTCGTATAAAAATTAAGAGCCACAGAGAATTTAGATGACTGTAAATGTATTGTAACATGGCACACAAAGTGAGTCTTGAGGTGTATGTGTGTGTGTGCGTGACAGCATTTGTTCCACTGTACGGGAGCAGACGTTCAGGTGGAGGTACAGCGAGTCGGCCGTGCCTTCTGTCTGACAGCTAGCAGAGGAACAGGGGAAGAAGGTTGCTATAGAAACTAACATTTCTCACAACACAGAGAAGATCTGTGACAAAAGCGCCTCTCACCAACACGGACAATTTCCACAACCAGATCTATTTTGTGTGCCTTTAGCTATCAGACGGTTATCGATTGCACATTTCACCCCAGCTCAATCGATCCCCTTTCATAACTTCATCACATCCGAGAGTCTGTAGCAGCTTATCAGCCGATGCTTAAAGCTGGAGTGTACAATTAAATGAGATCCTTTTTTTTTCTTGCCAACAAACGCATACTATTTGAGCCATATCATCAGTCCTGCTGGACCCGAATCAACTAGCTGTTTCCCCCACCTCGTGAAGCAGCTTCTCCAGCTTCTCCTGCAGCTCAGCAAAGTAGCGGGAAGTCACCAGGCCCTTCTGGGACTTGTCCAGACAGTCTCTAACCAGCTCGACCAACTGGTGCTGGATGAAGCCCAGCACCCCGTCAGCCAGCGGGAGGGAGCTGTCTGGAGAGCAGTGGGTGATAATCTCGAACAAGCGCTCCTCCATCTGGGCTGTGGCCTGCAGGGAGGACAAGCACACAAACACACAGTTAAGGCATTTAAAAAAGGACCAGTAATTGTGATTTTTACTCTCTGCAGCACCAAATGTCCATAATATTTCTGTTGGTGGATCATTAGCAGAGAGTCCATCCGATTAACTGGAAAAAGAGCAATGTGCAGTGTCTTTGCTACACAAATGTTCGACGGTGTTCTTGCGCGCGTACCTTTGGAAATCGTTCTCTGTAAACATGGTTCATCATGACAATCTCATTATCAAAGGAGAAATTCGATCGTCCGGGGCTGCAACAGAAACAAAACAACAGATGAGTAAATTGTAATTGATCAACAAATACAACAGTCCACTGAAGTTTTTAAGAGGCCAACATCTACACTTGTATTTTATTTCTCAACCTGACCAAAAGCAATATTGTGAGCCAACATTCGATGCAGCAGCTCTTAAGGTGGTAAAGCTACAATTTCACTGTCAGGTTTTAATGTTTCGAAACCAACAGCAGAGGTTTCTGGTGGCCAAACAGTGTGAATCATCGACATCACTCAATTAGTCATTTACTGCAACACCATTTCAGTATTTAGGCAGATGAGACGGGTGTATTTAAAAAAAGAAAAAAAAAAGAAAACCTTGCTTGATGAAGCATCACACAGAACAGATGGTGGGAAAACCTATCACATGCAAGCAGGCTCCCTAAGCCATTTTTTTGTCATGAAAGACGCCTCTGTTGGACTAGATGGCTGCTGCCCAACACACACTGCTGCAGCTTACCGTGGCTCTCTGCATCAGCCCCCCCCTAAACCACCCCCACCCCTTGACTACAGTTCAGCAGCTAGATCCCTGAGGCGCTCTGTTAGCTAGCATTGCCCACGCACGGCACACCATGGTGCCAGAACACAGAGCACTCAGGCATCGCACAAACAGCACAGAGCGGAGCCAACAGACAAAAGTTGTCAAAAGCACACAGCTCGGCAGTCAGATCTCCAGCAGCCTGCCGGCCAACAGGCATGTTGTAAACCCATCGGAGGCACTTCAGACGCCAAATGCCGTGTTTGCTTGTGAACTTTTCATGGTCATACTGAAGCACAGACATGTTGACATCTAACAGTCGATGTAATAATCTAAATCTTTGGCTTTGGCAGCACATATTTTCTAAAATGAAATCGGGATTAGCCACCTGAGGCTCCGAGACCGAGGTCGCATGACGGTCGAGGGCCGCCCGTCCTCGTCCGTCATGCTGTCTGTGCTGCGGAAGTGTTTGAAGAGGAAGTGCAGCTCATCTTGAGTCGGCTGGTAGGGAAGCTGGTGAAGACGCTCCTGGGAGGAAGAGGAGGACTGCGGAGACAAAGAAGGATCCATCGGTTGAGAAAATTCATTTCTACATTCAACAGGTTAAAGTCTTCACCTTCATCATTCATAAAATAGTTGTCAAGAAGTGAAAGGTGACCTAAACGCCCTCTCCGGACAATATTTAAAGTATTTCTTCCAATAATGAGGCATCGTTATTTACAGGAATAAGTCACTGTCCCTGAGGCATTGAGTAAACTCTTTTCAAACTGGACAGGACGCTGTGTACATTGCCAGCACTCTGTGAAATGTTGAGGCCCATGTGTCCTAAACAGAAGAGGACGAGAGGGACGGCATCTGTGAAGTCTCCTTCTAATGCCTTAGAATAAAGAGGGCAGTGAGGGCCACTGAAGAGCCCCATTGTCCCCACTGACCTCTGGGTCTGTGCCATGGTCAGGCCCATAAACGTCTTTATAATAGCTGCACATGGCCGACTTTCAACCACTGCAAACTGTTCATTTGAATGTTTACTTTACTTGGAGTAAAGTTCTGCTCTGAACAACATTTTTGACATGTATCCTCCCAAAAAGTATCAAGTAACTGAGGATACAAGCTTTTTGAATACCAAACAAAAGCATCAGATGTGTTGTGAGGTTTTATTGAAAAACTGTGATAAAATAATGTCACTTTAAGTATTTAATCTCATAACTATAACAGCGAGGGAACACACACACACACACACACACAGTACTTCATCTCCTCATTAACATGCACACACACAGACTGCGTGTGTAATACTTCTAACACCGAGTTCCACAGACTGAGAAAATGACTAATTCAAGCAGATGATGGAGGAAAACAATTAGCGGTTTGTCATCGTGGACTTGGCGTTCGCCGTCCCTTATTGCATAAACGAATGTGCTATTTGGACTGAGCGGAGTGTTAGAATTGCCTGGCCATCTATCGACCGGGGAGGACGGCGACATGTTTTGGGATCACTTACCGACACAGTGGAGCTCGGCGGGTTGGTTCCATAGCCCGATGAGGGGAGGGATGCCAGGGACCATCTCCGGCCCTCAGCTCTGAGAGAAACGGACATTTGGTTACATAAGCCTCAGCAGCAATGGCATTAGATTGCATTTCACATGTGAAACTCATTACATAACAGGCGACAGAGGAGTCCTCTGGCTACAAGAGCGTGAAATTAATGTCCTTTTATTCAAATCATATATAACACGGTTCGGTGGCAAGCTGTACCCTCACTTAAAAGGAGACATTTTCTAGGAGAAGATAAAACATGAAACACAAGCTTTAAAAGCCAACAGACGGGGTGAAAGAATTATTAAAAGAAGCTACCTGTCGGCGCGAGCCAAGTGGCTGAGATCACGACAGCAACAAAGAAGAAGAGAAAAACAAAAGAAAGAATTTCAGTGAGTTGTGGGAATATTGCGCAAGTGATCCTGTGACCTCTGGCATTCAGCTGAGGGATTAGTACTGACAGTGTTGCCCTCCTTGCCAGTTTGCATTTGCCCAGATACAAGCAAGCAAACCAAATTAATTTGAGGATATAGTTTACATAACAGAGACAAATCTCCCCTTCAAAGCATTACCAGAGAAAGGATCTTCTCTCCAGTTATATATACACACACAACAGAACAAATCGAACAGCTAGAGGTTGTGTGTTGTAACAGTGCCATTCATCCATCCATCCATTATCTGTAAACACTCATCTTTTACAGGGTTCCAGCAGCACCATAACATTCAGGACTAAACCGTTTTGCTGTGAGAATGAGCAACAACTTAAAGAGTGGCGTTATAGACAACAAAGACCACTTCAATGAATGAAGGCTTAAAAAGCTGTAACTGCATCTTAACCGTGTCAACAATGATCTACTTTGGTTATCTCTAGGAGTTCAGTTTGGTCATGAATTTGAAACTGAAGAGCCTCATTGAACACCGACAAACAAAATGAATCAAGAGAACCCAATTTCAAGCAGCAATGAACAAAGTCACCGACTGTTCTGCAAGGCTTTTAGATTTTATTGCTGCAGCACTGCAGATGATGGGTGCGAGACGTTTGTGGCCAAAACGTGCTTATTTTCCTCATCACAATGATCATTTGTTGACATGTTTGCATGTAGAATTTTAGGTCCTAAGATAGGACTGTGAATGTTTATTGTAAAGTCAAAAGAATTAAAGATTCAAGGTTTAATTAAAGGCTGTCTTTCCTCTCGATAGTACGCTACTGAACGATGTGCTTTACACTACTTGGTGTCGTTTTTCTGGCTCGTTCCCATCGTACTTTAGGAAGGAGCACCTGGACTACTCAGGAGTTTTTAACAACTTTGGTGCCTTCGAGGCCTCACTTGTAGGCAACATGTGCCTGGAGCGAGACAAGCCTGTTGCCATTAGAACGGGGTTGAATGATGCGAGTGGGCTCCGGGGGTACCCTCTATCTAAGTGCACTCATCCTGCTGAGGAGCAGACCTGACAGAGAGACGGAGGTGTGAATGCTCCAGGCTGAGTCAGCCTCAGTCACCTTACTGCTGGTTGTCTGCATCTGTCCCAGCACGCACGCACGCACACAAGGAAGCTCTCAGAGTAAGGTTACGCATTGGGTTTCATTTATTTTAGATTTTTTTTAAATGTATATTTGGTAGAATAAGGGTTCAGTGTCAAATTACAATGATCAGTGGTTTGTAAACAAGAGCTACATTGACTCTTGATTCAAAACAGACGGTAGTTCCTGTAACTTTAACAACTCAACAGGATTTGATGAACCAACTCCCAAAATAAAAGAACTAAACGGTAGCCAGTATTTCCATGATATCCTCACGCTCTGTGTACTCACTCTGAACACAAGAACAATTTGCTGTTGGTTAAAAATGGTTTCCAAATCTTAAAAAATTATTTCCCAAAAAGCTTATTTATAGGGTAAATAAAAAATTGTTGATGGGTGTCTCTAGGAGACACTGTTAAATTGATTTATTTCCAAATAAGTAGTTCAATACAATTGCTACTGGGGCCTAACCTAGAGATCTTTGTGTCCGTGCACAGCAGGTGCTGCTGAACATGCAAATAAATGTAATTTGTCCTCAGGTAAGAGTACTATTTAACATATAAAAAAAAAAAAAAATTTGTATTTATATATGAATAACAAATCAATGTGCACTTACTTAAAAGGGCATTCCTATTCCCCCTAGAGTTATACATTTATCTCAAAGAAGCTTTGCTAATAATCATTACAAAATGACAGACTGCTGAATTAAGTGTTATTAATGGTTTAAAATGGTAAAAAAGTCGCAAATTATTTTTGATCAACCCCCCCTTGAGATTCCTTAAATGTGAAAAAACAATATATTGCTCCAGAATTCAAGCGAGCAGTGCTCACATACCTTCGGGCAAATGGGAAGTTGAGGCAGGCGCTGGTCGACACATTTCGTGGGCTGTCTAGAGGGCTGCTCGCAGCTGGAGAAGCAAAAGACAAAAGTTACTACCGGTACAATTCATAACATTAAAAATAATAAACTCATGAAAATAGAGAAGAGAAAACCACATGGTGTAAATGTTCTAGAAAGGATGACATCATGTCTAAATGTACAAACCCTCAATTACTGCAAAACCGGGCGGCTTTAACCAGCATCCCCAAACCGTCTTTATTCAAGGCCTGATCCAGAGTCTGGATGTCTGGGTCCACCAGAGACTGTGGTTCGTTTACATGCAAGTGGTTGAGCAGTACCGATTACAACACAAGAGAGACCTAATTACAGCCCTACTGCACTCTGCGATTACATAATCCTCGGCATGATTGAGTTCAAAAGGGAGCACGTCCACATACTGCTGGTATGAGGAGATCTTGAGCAAAACTCTTTTCATAGAGTGCAGCTGCTTCTCGGCATTAAGAGGCGGTGGACCGTCTGTGCTGTTGTTGATTCAGAAAGCTAAAGACAACAACCATTTAGACATGCAATCATTGTAATGCTTTCTGTACTTCCATTTCTTCAATCAGATATTCATTTTGAACATCTCCTAGTCCAAAGTGATAAGCTACAAATATTTAAGTATTAATGCAGACGGTTGGTCCAGATGTTCTGCAGAGGCCCAGAACCAAATTGCCGGAGCTCAACGCATGCCGCACTTTGTCCCTGCTTGGTGTTTTGGGCGTTAATTGCACTTTTCTTCGTGACAAATAATTTCTCATCTGGAGTACATCCATGACCAGGTAAGAAAGTTGCCAATTGAACCTACTTAATGTCACAAGGGACATAAACGGGATAGTGTCAGTATCAAACACGGACGCTGGTCTGGACTGATTTAACAGTATCTCGATCTGTTGTTAAACAGTACGGACATGCAGAAGAGTACAGACGAGTCCACCCTGCTACGTTTAAATAGCAAAAATTGTCCGACTGGTTTCACCAACAACCACCTGCTGACAGCTACATTGCTGACAGCTACATCGCTAACAACGCGTTCAGTACGGCAAAATAATAAATAAACGGGCTGTGTTGCTGTGAACATGTTTCTTCAGAGCACATTTTCATACGAACCCAAAAATATAGTGAAAAAGTTAAGTAAATGCCAACACATGATACTGCAGTTTTTTTAATATTTTGGGGCAAGATTTTGCAACATCATGCTAAAGATGAAATGTAAATGAGCACAGTGCTAGCCGGTATTTAGCTTTTATGTGCAGTTGCATCACTGTGATTGGCCAATGGGCCGTGTGTTTCCACATGACACTGCAGCCGAAGTAGAGCCAGCGCCAACGCCAACGCCAACACCGGTCAGGTTGGGGCTTGTTGGGCTTAAAGGGATACCAAGCATGGCAGTAGATCTTACCAGTGTGGAGTGAGAGCGGGGAAAGCGGCCGGGACAGCGTGGGCGACGGCGTCCCGACACCGAGGCTCTTCCTGTTGCTGCTGCGACAGCTGGAGCACAAACGGGGAAAAAGAGAGAGACGTCAACACTCATCTGCATCGCTCAACTAACGCTCTATGAAAATGTCTTTGTGGCAGTTTAAGCTGTTCTAACATCACAGTGGAATTTAAATTTAAATTCGAAAGTACGTTTTAGAGATTGCCTCACAGGTTAACTTAACAGCCTCCCATTGGTCACATGGGTAAACTAAGCTATGCAGGTTTATTAACACGTTTCTGTCTATTTTGCAATGTGAGTTGCAGTGTTTTTGTGACATTCATTATCTCTGCACCAATCCTTGTCCACAGCGACACAACCTTATTTTTCATCATAACTTTTCCCGGTTTTTCAAGTAAAACCTTTAAGTTGATATTAACAGCCTAAAGCGGTCACTCAGAGCACTGCGTCACTGCTAAAATGTTAGCATTGAGGGTATTTTCGCACTTCTTTTTATAACAGTTAAACTGAACTTTAAGACAATCTAGAAAGAAAATAACCTTGTGTGTTCCTTTAAGCCGAGCGTAATCATTTTGGTTCATCCAACCTATAATTACACGTTTGACTCATACAATTCTTCAGCTTGTATTTATATCTAAGTGTGTGTTTGTGTGCTTATTGTGAACAGCGGGCTAAGAACACAGAAGACATTTTATGACAGTGTAACAGAGGGCAGATTAAGAAGACACACCAGTCCGTCATCCACTAAAATGGAACTGTTGCACCGCACTGAACTAGCCTGAATAACACCAAAACACACCCGTGTGCCGTGTTTGTGTGCCGACCAGAAGTACGCTGGCTATAGACGGGGAGCAGTGGAAATAGGCGTGGATGTCCAGTTTTCTGAGCACTACAATTTGCTATCTTCACTTCTTATAGAAAAATCATACAAATATTCCCGTAAAATACTTGAGTTATTTAGAATTTCATACATTGTTTTTATCGTTTGAAGAAATGTATTTCACACAACATGGTAGACAAAGAAAGGCAACACATTAAGATCCTATTTGTATTATTTTAGTTCATTTCAATTTAGTTTTGAATAATTAATAAACAGGATTATTGCGGGTGTGTTGACAGACGTTTCTACTGCACTGCTAATAACAGGTCTTCAAAAGAGGGCAAACCAGTTTACACTCGGATGGATGCACCAGGTCATTAAGGGTGTGAATTGCAGCACACTTGGCCTGCAACACAGCCACCTTAACCGTGGGACTATTTTGGACTGGTACTCAAATGCGTCCCGTAAATCATCGCATCCAGCGACACACTACGGTCCGGTTGGTAGAGCTCAGGTTTCTGAAAATCCTCTGAACACTTGCAATTTCTGCAGCTAACAAAAAACACACACTTCCTGGGCTAGTACAGATGGGGCTTATGATACTTAGCAAGAATAACTGAGATTTATTTTCTCTCTGCCCACCGAGATTTAACTCCACTGATGACATTATTCCCGCCTTCAGAGCAGCTCTGCCTTGAGAGATGTTTATGTAACTAAAACCTTAATCTGCAGGCAAATGCATGACACACCAGCGTGGCCAATGTCAGCTGAAGAGGGAAAACTGACGAGAGCCAAAATACAAAGAGAAAACCTCCTGTCAACAGACTCAAGGCTGCGTGTACCGACAGCAGCTGCAGGACCAGCTTGAGCTACAGATGTCCAAGACTGTGTGTGTGTGTGTGTGTGTGTGTGTGTGTGTGTGTGTATAAAGGGCGGGAGGGAGTGCTAAATAATCCCTCTGATCCTGAAAAGAGGGGGCAAATTTTGACAAATGCCATTCAAACAATCAACGCAGCAGATTTTACTGTGACACCGGGGTGAACTGTTCTCAATAGCGCCGAAATTATTCATTCAATTAAATCGATTAGAAGACTTTCAGACGGTTAACCAACTATTTTGATAACACATGAATCGCTTATATCATCTTCTAAGCAAAAATGCTCAACATTGTCTTGTTCCAGCTTCTCAGATATTTGCTGTTTTATATTATATAACTCATATATTGAATATACTTGAGTTTTTGGATGGTTTGTTGGACAAAACAAAACATTTCAAGACCTCAGGCTCTGGGAAATTGGGATTTTCTGACATTTCAGACCACAAGATTAATCTGCAAAATAACAACACATTGCCTTAAGCTCTGTGAGAACCAGAAAGATAATAGATAGATTAATCAATAATAATAAAAAAATCATTAGGAGCCTGCCCTTGTCCACAACTAACTGGAGGACCGTCAGCTGTTATATGTCTCTGGCCAGTTCATTCATCCAGTGTGGTGGCCTCTGCAGGCTTTATCTGCAGCCATCAAACAGTAAACATGACAAACATTTAACCATGCCCTGCAGCCAGTAACTGTGCTCTCACAAATACCAACCACCAACACAAACAGAGACGTGCCACTATGGGCTTCACTTCATATAAAAAGACCGTTTCGTGTTTTTATATAATTCCCATTGGTGTGATACTGCGACTCCATCCACACAGTTGGCTTTATCCAAAAGGTCTTTATAGACCTAACAGCAAACAGCATTAGCTACTCTCAGTTAAATTATTTCCTGGACAAAAAGCTGTGCATCAACCCAAACTCATGATGAACCATCACAGGATTAACGTTGCCTCGAGCATTCAACAGAGAGGAGCTAACGTTAGCTTACGTTGGGAATGTTTTCACACAACGTCCCCATGAGAGCATCAACATTGAAAGCTTATGAAGAGCAGCTGCGACAAAAAACACGACAACAACAACAACAGACGAAATAAACCGTTTAACTAGCTCGTGTTTGACCCCCCCCGTATCCCAACTCTTGGTACCTTTTTGAGCGCTTCAGCAGAGATCCCGGAACAAAATGGGACTTGTTCTGGTTCGGCATCGCAGACCAGTGACTCGGATCCGACATACTGGAGGTGTTTTCTAAATGTATAACCCAGTTTCAAAGTTAATGGTGGTTTCAAAAGGCTGAAGCTCGGGTGTATGTGAAACCCGCTCCCCCCGCTGCTCCTCTCCCCACCATCGCCTCCTCTCCTCGGCGGTTCCTATTGTATTCAGCCTGCCTCGTGCGGTCCCAGCGGCTCTGGAGCTGCGTTACATCCTCTGCTCGGCTCTCTGGCCGCGGTCCTGTCCCCGAAACATCACCTCGACGCAGGTTTGTTTTGTGTTTATACCATTCACACACACACACAGCAGCACACTGATGTTTCGCCAAACACACGCTGCTGGCTGCGTGTGTTTCTGGAGCCCGATGCTGCGTTCAAGTGCTGCTCGTTCCCTCCGTTTAAGAATGCAACTAACCATTATTTATCAAAACAAATGCTCGTCACAATTTACGGCATTTTAGTGACACACGATGCACTTGGTTACGTCAGTCTAGTTCAAATGGGATGTTGCCGGTTTTTCCACACATTGCCAATCGATTTTTTTTATTACATTTAAATGTTTGGTCCAAGGGACCCTGAATCATTTTTTAAGATCAATTTAGACATTCAGAAAAGTGTGACGTATGGCGAGAGCAATCTTTACTTACGGTAGGCTATGAAACACTCTCTTTACAATTACCTCTTTGGTCACTCGTTCATACTAGAGTGTCAATTTCCTACAGACATTGAAAGCACCTTAAGATGTTGTTGGGTTGTACCATGAGGAGTCTGTTAGAGGGAGGATACTGGCCAAACGTATATACAGTGGTACATTCCAATGCACATTACACCTCTGGTGGTCATGAAGCCAATTTATACCCAATGTGTAAGTATTTAAATTTCATTCTATATCAGAACAAAAAACATCTTGCAGTGCACATACTGTAAGTGGAATGCTGTATCTGCAGCCACATACAAAATCAGAAGACGTTTGTTTTTATTTATTTGACTGAAACTCCAATTATACAAATGGTTGGTTGCTCTGCAAACATTTGATAGAGGTCAATATCTATATGTTGCAAGGAGTCCATCCTCAGATTCAAGTCTCTCACTTTTGTAATTGACGTACATATTACAAATCCAGGAAGTGAGAAGAACTGTATGTGTAACATTATAGGATTATTAATTGATTTGTCACCATTACTCTCAGGTCCTTTTTGTCCCCCATTCTGCAACAGTTCCAGTGTCTCACCAAGACTATTTGAGCCGTATAAATCCATCATCTAGACCCCTGTTTATATAAGAAATTAAAATTGTACAACAAATGCTCTGGGTCTATTTGTTCATGTGTGGGCTCTGCCATCAACAAGTCCCTGATATCTTGTTGTAACAGACAGTCCAGCCTTTCTTCTGACCAGGCCTTGACGTTTGAGGTGCATTTTAAATGTTTGGTTCTGTCGTATTTTGCAAACATACAGCTAATTATTTTTTAAACCCAGATTTAAACAATTACTCGTGTTCATTTGATCTCACTTTGATCACTGGAAGTCCCTCTTGTAGAGTCCTTCAGTGGCTCCCCTTATCATTTTGAATTCAGTTAAAAGTTACCCTCACATCTGCATGATCAGCTACGTCATGGTAACTACAGCTTTACATCAGCAGTAAGCCACTGAGATCATTAGGTCTTAGCTTATTAATTACATTGCACACAAAGCGTAAGCCTAAAGGTGATCGTATCACTGTTGTGGCTGCTAAACTGTGGAAATCTTTTCCTTTTTCTAATAAAAAAAAATTAAATGTTTTTACAGTATTTTCATGCCTTTTTATTTCAGACAACTGCTACATTAAGTTGCCATAATAATAAAATGCCAAAAGTGTATTGTATGCGTCACTCTCCCCATACACTTAATATGAATCCTGCACCAAACACCAGGCAGCACTTGTGTCATCTCTGTATTGATGCAAAAGAACGAACATGTTTCTAGATGGTGAAACAACACAGTACGGTCTCCAATGCAAAAACGCTGTGAAGAATGATGCCAACAAATGTGCAATCAGATTACTTAAGGCTGTGTAAACACTGAGTTGTGTTAAGGAATTCATGTTTATCTCATTTGATTTTTGCATTCCCACTAAAGATTTGCAAATCTTTCAACCCAGAAAATGGGATTCATTACTGTACAGTGTGTGGTGTGACACCCTAGCGCTGCTCACACATCCAGAAACATGCTGGATGCAGCCGCCTCTGTTTGCAGTGTTGCCTTCCTCCACAGCACCCAGTACCGTTGCCAAGCAACCCACATAGACTTAGAGACAACTAATAAATGACGGGTCTTCACTGGTGAAGCAGAGACACCTTTATATAGCAAAGAACAACTCAGACATATTGCATGTTTCCTTTCTCTCCATATTAACTCCATTTATATTCCACAGTTTTTCTGTTTTATCTGAAATTAGAAAACAATTGAGCAAATAAAAAAACACTGAGGTTAGCTGTTAATGTCAATGAAGTTAACATTACAATCACACCACATGGTCCATTTAGTTGCTGTCCTGGAGCTTTTGTTCATATCACACTGTGTTGCTCAGCAGATGGGATTTTGACCCAGCTTTCATATGTTCAAATGAGAACATCTTGTTCCTGCCATCTTGTTCTTGTTAATTCCTGACCCTGTTTCAAGGGTCAAGAATTTACTTTCAATCTTTTTTGATTATTATTTTCAATATCATCATTATTATTAGTATATTATTATTATTATTATTAGCAGCAATAGCAATAGCATTAGTATTAGTATTAGTATTAGTATTGGTATTATATTGGTATTAGTATTATCATTATCATGTGCCATTTTCAAAGTATGAATTTGGGGATGTAAAACAGTTAGTTTTGCGCAAGCAAGACTCAAATAGGAGTAAATAGTGGAGGACTACTGTTAGCAGCGGATTAATACACATGTTGTGCTCTAGTGCAGAGGTCTTCAACAGGGGGTCCGCGGCCCCGGGTACTGCAGGGGGTTCGCGAAATTGTTGGTTGATTAGACAATTAAAAAAAAAAAAAAAAAAAAAATTCTCTATACATGAATGTGTCCATTATTGTAATAGTTCAGTATTGTATGAAAGATAACAGGTATCTTTATGCATGGCAGTGGCACTAATAGGCCATCACTCATTTTCGTTTCCACATTTATGTTTAAAATGAAAACATCAATTTGAATAGTTTGTGTATATGATTATCATGCAATTGACAGACAATGTTGATATTGGCATTGGTATCAGCTGACAAGGTGTGTTTATAAATGGCAGTGGCACGGCCTCCCTACTCACTGTACCTCGCACATGTTTAAAATAAAAACATGAATATATGAACCTGTGTATTATTTGAATAGCTTAGTATTGAATGCACAATAAAGAGGTATACACGGTACTAGGCCCATTTAATATAAAACACAATTTTATACAATATATATAGTCGGGGGTCCCTGCTCCATCTCTCTATAAGTTTGGGGGTCCTTGGCCTGAAAAACATTGAAGACCCCTGCTCTAGTGAGTATTTGTGACAAACTGCTGGTTTATGTGGCATTGAATTCATGGTAATGAAGGAACTTCTCAACCAGTGCAAAGGTGTGGCTCATTTATGTGTTTTTGTTTTATGGTGAACTGACTCGTTGATGAGAAAAAAAAAAGGTACTTAACATGTTCAGTCCATAGAAACAGTCTGCGTGTGAACTGGCTGTCTTACCTCCAGGGATGAAGGGTTTGCAAGGGGCTGCAGGGACTGCAGGGGCTGCATGGGCTCAGGAGAGTGGGGCTCTGGCATGTGGGCGACAAACTGTAAGACAAGACATGTTTGCATGGATTAGTGCGCTGACTCAGCACCTCGGCACACTGGCCTCTGTCAGCCGCAGAACTTCGTCGAGGGTTAGAGGTTGATGCCTGCCTCTCGTTGACTGACACCAACAGCCGATGGTGACAGACACCGACTGTGGGCAGGGTGATGCTGCTGCCCCTCTGTGAGCATTGTTTGTTACAGGGTGGTCGGATGCAACTGGGTGCATCGGATTTGTCGGCTTCTAACCTCCTGTGAGCTTTTACACAACAGGAAGTTGGCAGCTGGGTGTCAACACACCAGAAAGGAAATGGCACTGAACATCTAATGCAACCTTTAACAGTGTTAGGGAGTGTCTGACATCTGGAAACACGCTGTATGTTATGATGTTGGGGCTTGACTTCAGATCCCCAAGAACAATACACATAGGGGGAGCCCTGCACAAAATAAATATTGTTTACCATTTCACATCTTAATGCTCGATCCCTGCACCAAAATATGCATGCTCAGCCATCCTAAGGGCCATATCTTCATGATGCTGACCCAGCGCAGAAGCTAATTTCTATTGATTTTCCTGCTCAGATGTAAGCTCTGCCTTTTGGGCTTCACAGAGCTGCTATTGTCTCAGTGCTGCAGAGGCTTCTCGGTGCTAAACACAGCACTACCAAAAGCACTAATGAATGTGTTGTCATAGTAATGCAGGGCGGACGGTAGGAAAAACAACTCCTTGCACAAAGACTCCGTATTCTGTAGTGTCGGCTCATAATTACACAACACATGCAACTCATTACGTTGTATTTCTCCCTCAGACCCCTAAACCAAAGCTCTCGACGGCGCTCGAGTGAGTAAACGTCCCGTCATTTCCATTTTTGCATTTCCATTTTGTGTAAACTGACTAGAAAGTCTCAGACTGAATTCTTGGTGACACTCGCACTGCATTTCTGATTTGCAAAGATGTTCAGGTCGTTCAGGTAGATTTTGAATATAAGTGCAGTGGCAGCTTCAACCTTTTGGTGGTAAGATAGCAGCAGGATTTAATGCCAAAATAACAAACATGGCAAGTTAATTTAAAATTGTATTCAGAAGTATCATCATATTCCAAGATATTTTAGTCACGTTGCTGCATAACGCTTACAGAGTAAATCTTTACGAAGCATGTGCATCTTGAAAAAATTTGATTGTGTACCTGAGTAGTTGCAAAGCACAACTTTCAGTAGCAAGTCTGAATACAATGTTATGCAGTGCTTGTCGTTTTTGCACTGCAAGTGGTGAAAAAGCCCATCCTGAAACCTACATCAGAGATCCATTTCAAGCAGATATGTGTCTGGACTAATGCATCCATCAAATAGCCACCAATAAAACCCTGAGGAGCCCCTTTCTCCTCGCTGCGCATGAATCCTCCTCTGTATCTCTGCGCGGGAGCAGCTATAAGAGCCTAAAAAGGAAATCGAAACAATAACAGCGCATGCTTAGCTGAGATCATCCACGGGGGAGGTAGATGGATGGATCAGAGAATGGGGATGTGAGGGAGCTCCTACGCCTTTTGGATCAGCATCTAGTGGGCAGCAGGTACCCCCCCTCCTTTCCCACAAAAAAGGGCTACATTCACGCTGGAGGTAGCGTGGGCGGACATAAGACTGCAGCCATGTCCTTTGATGGAGATATGGATTCACAGATTGCCAATTATATGGAAACAAAATATCGGTTCTCCTTACGACTGAGAGCCATTTGTCTGTCTTGGTGCTGTGAGGGGGAGCATGTGATTCATGCAGGAATCATGGACTTCATGTGAAGTTAAAAGAAGGAGATAACAGAGCTGGGAAAACATAAATCATCACTGACAGAACTTACACTGAGGCACAAGCGTTACCTCAGAAACTAATAGAAACATTCGGAAGGACAAAAGATCTGTAAAACTGAACAGTGTTCACATTGATATTCGAACTGCCTAAAACGTCAGACAAAGTAACTCCATCTCCACAAGTTGTCATTTGTGTCAGTGGTTTGGTTTTACAGGTTTAAACATGAATTGTGCTCACAGGTTCACTTCAAGGTTGGAAAGCTGGACTTCTCTACATCCAGTGAGTTAAATTATTTTAAAGATTAACAGACAGGCAGGGGAACAGTTTGAACTGCAGCGAGTTTTACTGAGAATACATTCCTGCATTCCTGTAAACTGAGAGTTGTTTACCAGACGATGAATCCTCAAGAATATGTCATCACCCTGGGAGAAAACTGAATCAACTGGCTGTTGTGGTCGCAGAGCTTTAGTGGTGGTTGTAATGGTTTGAACTGCAGCCGCTTTGTTGACACTTTCAATTTAATTCGATTCAATTTATTTAGTATTGCCCAAAATCCCAAATTTGCCTCGGGGGCACTTCAATACATTAAGAGTACACGATCACATACATTATTTCACTCTTATTATAACTTTAAATAAACAGCAGTTTCCTGTGACAGCTTGTGGTTTGACACCTGCACCAGAAAATGAAAGTAAAAAGCAGAACTTACTCCAGTGTCAGGGAGGGGATCTTCAGTTTATCTCGCCTCGACTTCATTCTTGCTGATCACCAAGCGGGGGGTTTCACTTCACAGCGCGGCACCAATCGGTCTCACGGCCGGCTTCCAGCCACTCATCGCTGCAGTGGGTGACTAAAAATAACCCATGAAACTGAGTATCGTTTACCAGCGTCTTCAGCGGATTCCGGAGAGATTTTCCGTGGGAATGGATACAATAAAATGCAGGTACATCTACACAACAAGCGACGCGCCCAGGCAATTTTTCCGCGTTTCGCCTCTTGTCCGTCTCCAAGGCGCACTAGAGATTGACTGCCACAAAACCGAGGGAGCAACGGGTCACCGCTAACCTCCATGTGACTGGTGGGAAGGGAGGGAGGGAGGAAGGGGGGAGTCTATACGAAGGGGTGGCTTTATCAATTTGGGCGATGGGTGACAGTCAACACAGGCGAGGTTGGGTGAGGACGAGGGGGGAAGTTGGCGTTGGGGCTGAGACATAATTCACAACCCAAATGATTCCGGCTTGTTTATTTCATATAACATAGTGTATCATCATATAGCTTACTGTAGACCTAGTATGTGTTTCTGTCATTGTGCCTTTTTTTCTCGCTGCGTATCCGCGCAACACCATGACACGACGCCAAAGTAAAAGTTTTCACTTGTAGGCCTACTGTTTGATGAGATGTCTACTTCATCGATAAATCCATTAGCCTATATTTCTCTCTGTGCGCTGAAACAAAATGAAGCAGAGTCGTGAACACTGGTAGGCTGCTGCTGGTCGTGATGAGGCTGGGGAATACCTCCGCTGGAAACCGTGTCAGCTGCCACACATGGTGCGTTTCTCACTCTGCCGCGCGCTGTGTGTGTGTGTGTGTGTAGGGTCAGCTTTTATTTTCTAACAGTGATGTACGCAGTCATTAATTGCGCAGATAGTTAATTTCCCCAGGGAATCACTGTGTGGGTGCGCGCGCGCGTGTGTGCATGCAGCGACCGTGTATGTGCTATTTAGCGCCTGCTTTATTCCCGGCTCCTCGGGACTGCGCGCACGTGCGGGCATGAGGTTTTTACACGTTTCTACAGCATGCCTGAAAGTAGATTTCCCAAGCATGTGTAGGAGTTTGTGTGTGTGTGTGTGTGTGTGTGTGTGTGTGTGTGTTTGCATGCTAGAAAGTCAATATTATTGTACTTATATTGCAGGTGTGCGTGTGTGTGTGCGTGTGTTTAAGGTCACTGTTTGCGCCTTTGTTTCTATGGGATGCCTGGAGATAAAGGGTGACACCAGTGTCTTCCTGGTTGCCAGGGAGCTGATGATGGTTTGTCTGGTTGCTTGTTCACTCACACACACACGCACACACACACACACACACACACACACACACACACACACACGCACACACACACACACACACACACACACACACACACACACACACACACAGTCTTCCTTCAATATGACTGACATTATACAGTGTATTTACTGGTTATATTAACCACTATGCTGAGTGTTTACTATGGAAATCTCTAAATCTTTCACTGCCTCGAATGCAATATTGTAAGTTTTACATTATAAACACTGATATCATTTTTGTTAGCAGTAATGACATCAGAAACATGGAAATTGTGGGCTTTGTCTGTATCTGAAACCACCTGTTGGGGGGGGGGGGGGGGGGGGGG